CCTATAACGCAATTCCAAAGACACAAAAAGAGAGGTGAAAGTGATACATAGAGCGAACGCTAATTAACTAACTAGCCATCAGCTAGCTAGGCTTGCCGCCGCACCACCTTTCTCTTCAGTTCCCTCGGTGGATTATTCTGCTAGCAAAAAAAAAAAAAGTACTGGGCCGCGTGCGCCCGGGGGCATTTCATATCAAATTATTCCGCGGGATCAACGGATCTGGTCGAACCACATGGTGCAGTCATCGTTGTTGACGATGCCACCCGAGTCCTTGCAGCTGTCCAGCGAGGTCTTGGCCTTGCGAAGGCAACTCTCGCAGTGCTCTTTATCCTTCTTCGGGGAACAACTGGCCGCACCTGTGACCGAACCAACGCCTCCGTCGGGGTACGAGTACGGGTCGTGCTGGAATCCATCCAGCTGTGGTGTCAGGTCGCGCAGCGACGTGATGAGGAAGGATACGCAGGAAGCGTAGCTGTCGCCACAAGGACCGCCGCCGACGATGTCGGTGGTGAGGCATTTCGCCTCGGCGGCGTGCCCTACAAGTAGTAGTAGTAGTGCTGCAATCATCGCTATCAACACAGTGGTGCGAGCAGGAGTTGCGGGGTTAATATGGTACACCATGATTAATTATACGATATATATATGTGTGTGTGTGCTTCTTTTTTGTTGTGATGATGAGATTATGTGTTGGGGTTTTCTTATATAGGGACTGGTAAAAATGGTTGGAGTTCGATAATATTCTCATTATGCGGCAGTCTCATGGCCTACGTTGGTGTCGTATTTGCTGGCGCTAGACAGTTCATTTGCTATTTTCTGGTCGATATATTGGCCGCCTTTGATTCCCCTTTTCTAAATCATTTGTTTTTTTTCTCTCTGTACTCTATAGCTAGTTTGTAGGAGGTTGAGATCTTGCACTTAAGTCTTAACTCCAAATTATTAATTGATTAATGGGTTTAGCATTGGTTTTGGAGGTTAATTGAGGAGAGGAAAATCGGGGAGCTAGGGTGAGATGTGTATAATCATATGTTATGCATTTGTAGTTTGTTGGTTTATCTAAAAAGACAGTAAGGGTAAATTGTGTGGAATTACTATAATTTTTTTTTTTATGATTGATCACTAAAAATATTTTATTTAATTCGGAGTCACTAAGATTAGTTACATATTTCAAGTTTGGTTATTCTTCGTCCAACTCTGTTAACTTTATTTGATATAACATTCATTTTTCACAGTTGATTGTTAAATATATGACATGATAATTTAGAAAAAAATAAAAACTAAAACTTAATTTCCTATAATCCTTCACAAACACTAAAATCTTTAGTTGCCTCAATGCTGCGCTCTCCCACTTTTCTGGGATACAGTGACAACTAGGGCTGGGCATGCGGGCGGATCATCCGCGGGTTTGGGCCGACCCACCCGCATTTGACCCGAATTTCGTTAAGTGGGTGGGTTTGTGGGTGGGTGACGGGTTGCGCTGGGAGCCATCCGCCGGGTGGTGGGTGGGTTGTGGGTGAGTGTGCGGGTGACCCGCTCAACCCAACAGCAAAAAAATCAAAGTCGTTGGCGCTAGAGAGAGGAGAGTGGAGACGTTAGATATAAACTCGGACTGCTCCTGGAGTTTGAACCTCAAAACCAACCTTCCAAATAGAGATCCCCTCTTCTTCCCTTTACTTTTTCCTCTAATTCTTGTGCCTAGATCAACGCTCTTTCCTTTGTGGAATTATTTTCCTTAGTTCCTTGCACCTAATAATCGTCTCAATCTGTAGAAAACTCTTTCATAATAGAATTTCTATCCAATTTAAGAACTAATTCGACATTTTTCGCCCTATTTCAACTTCTGGTTTCCCTCGATGATTCTCTTCACCTATTATCATGTCAAGTTGACTCCTTTATATTATATAAATTGTGATGTGGGTGAACCCACAAACCCACCCGCATCATCCACCATCCGCCCGACCCAACCCGAGACTAAATGTGGGTGGGTGGTGGGTTAAAAATTATCAATCCGTTTAAGCGCGGGTGGGTGCATTTTATGGTCAAAATCCACCCGACCCACCCAATGCCCACCCCTAGTGACAACCACTAATGGATTGTCATTTTCACAAGAATAATTTGGGTATGTCAATAAAGTATATTATTGATTACATTTTTAATACTAATTACACTTTGAAAATTAGAAACTCAACTATTAAATGCATTGCTTTTTTTGAAATTTAAATTCTAAATTAAAAATCCGCACCCACCAGTGACGGATTTGTTTGGTATACTTTGAGCTTTGCCATTTTTCTTTGTAGGCTTTTCAGCAATTCCTTTTTCCATTTCTGAAATGGGTGGGAAAGCAATGTTGTCATAATAGAACTGGAGCATGATCCGTTAATGCGAACGGCTCACACTTTAGTGGTCCAATTGGTATTAGACCATTTAAAAACCGTTAGAGAACCGGTACCTAATAAACGTTATCAGTATAAATAGTGGACATTTCTTAATCATAGCTCATCTCTTTCCTTCGAAATTGTGAAATGGAAATAAGGATCAGTTTGAGAGCCCGACGTTTTTAGTTTATTTCAATTTTTAATTTTCTGCAATTTTTTTAATTAAATTTAGTGGCTGAATGGCAAAAACCGGATGAGCAGATCGATCGGCTTGAACGGTTAACCGCCTCGGCCGCTCGCCAACCGCTACATAAAACCGGAGCGGGTTTTAGACTGTTCCAAGCCGATTTTGTGACCGGGTGGCGGTTTTACCGCACAGGCCGAACGGCTCGGCTTTAATAACACGGTGAAAAGGCATAACAAGCAGTCCTGGGCTCCTGGCTATAGTGGAGGTGGCAGAGCTGTTAAGCAATCATGTGTGCTTCAAAACTATGATATTATTATATGCACTAGAATATAAACCTGCGCTTTGCGTCGGGATAATCAGTTTTCATAAATCACGATTTGAGAAAACATGAACACGTTATTGTTCAAGGCAAAATCCGCTAACTATTAGAGGGAGTAGCACCATATCCGATTCACTACAACATGCTCTTAAACAGTGCAAATAAAGTGATTTGACATATTCGAGGGAAAGTTAAGAGAAAATCAACATTCCCTTATGTTGGCAAACCTTAAATTATCAAGTAGACGTCGGTATATGTTATTTATGAGGAAATGGGTTTGCAAGTAAATCCCTCAATTCCATCTTGCACATGATAAATTGGAAATAACGATTCATGAATATAATTTGCACAATGTTGGATTAACTGCAAAAGTGATTCATGAATCGTTATTTTCACTTGTAACCGTAAGCCCTTGCAAATAACAAAAGCATTCATATACTTGATCTCATCTCAGCATTAGAGGCACGAAAGGTATCTAAAAGAAGTGCTTGACCCATTCGACATAGTTGTACAGAATTGGATATAGAGCGTACACAACACCACCTACAACAATATTAGTAGTATTAAAAAGTGCAGAAGCGGTAGCTGAAACACAAAAGAAGCTAGGAAGAGAAGAATTCTGAATCAGGTCACCAACACAAATAGAATAACTACATAAGGGAACACATGCAATAGCAGGCAACAACATCAGAATTGCAGTACAACAAACACGTGTACACACGAAACAGTAGAGGTAAGCAAGATGAATTTTTCCCCATGTCAAACCGAGTTAAGAGTAGCAGGACTGTAGATGAGTCGACACACAGATATCGGGTCTAAAATTTGGCAACACCAATACCTTGTCGAATTACGAAATGAGGTAAAATTCATTCCCGACCCAAAAATCGTCAACACCGGTTCAACTCACTTTGACAAGGTTGAATTAGATTGAAAAAACGGGTAAAATGCGTTCTCGACCCAATTCAATGATTACAAAAGTGGATAAATTTCATTCATGCCCCCAAAAGTGTCAAGGGTGAAACTCGTCCTCGACACAAAATTTGTCAATATTGGATTAAAGTCGATAAAGCGTGGCAAGTTTTTAACAAAATTCACACCCTACCCAATTTGTTGATTACAAAAGCGGGTAAAATTCTTTACCGGCCCACAATTCGGCAACAACTATACATGATCGGAAAAAGCGGGTAACATGCATTCTTGACCCAATTTCGTGATTACAAAAGGGGATAAAATACATTCACGACCCCAAATTGTCAAAGGTAAAACTCATCCTCGAACCAAAATTCGTCAACACGAGATTCAACTCGATAAAGCAGGGCGAGTTTTTAACAAAATGCACACCCGACCCATTCGTCAATTACAAAATCGGGTAATATTTATTCCCGGCTTAAAATTCGGCAACACCGATACCGGGTCGGATTATCTTGAACACCTATGAATTTGGGTTCAATTGTTATAAGAGTAAATATTTTAAACATATGATTAATGACCCTGTTCGATTATTACAAAAACGGGCAAAATTCGTTCCTACCTAAAATTCGACACCACCGATACCTGGTCGAATTAGATTGAACACACATGAATTTGGGTTCAATTGTCATAATAGAAAATATTTAAAACATTTGATTAATGACCCTATTCTTCAATTACAAAAATGGATAAAATTTGTTCCTCGCCTAAAATTCGCCAACACCAATATCGGATCGAATTAGCCTGAACACACATGAATTTTAGTTTAATACATTTGATTAATTAATAAAATGTTTAACAATAAAACAATCCAAGTTGATGTGACTATGAAATAGTTATTAACAAACTTGGTCTCATCTGTTCGTAAGCTAATTAATTAGAACCTCAATAGCATTTAAACTCCTCCAAACTTTGGCTAATTACCAAAAGGATCACTTTTGTATGATGTGACTCTAAGTAATAGTGTAATCCTTACTTGTTCTTTTAATAACACACAACAATAATAATAATAATATAAAGATTGCTTGAAGCCAAAGGGATATACAGGGTCCAGTCCACCCACCTATCAGTCAGCAAACCCAGCTCCCACATCACATGAACGCATGTTCTCATTGCAATCGATTGCTATATCCATCCATCGTAATGATAAGTCTTAACAACCTCTTTCACCTTTCCCAAACTATTTATAACACCAACGTTCACATAGAACCATCTTACTGATCACTAGTGAATCAAAGAATAAGCCTATAGCTACGTTTTTCTCGCCATATCCATGGAGGTAACGTACACGTTTTCCCGTCTCTATGTATCGATTTCCTTCCGACTGCAAATCTGCAATATTCATCGCTATGTATCCTCCGATCCATGCACATATATATCTGCAGGTTGTGGAATTGAAGGTCCGCTTGCATTGCAAGGCGTGCGAGAAAACAGTGCGCAAAGCCTTGTGCAACCTCAAAGGTCACTAGCAAACTAACCAGCCACAGCCAGCCCTTGTTTTCCTCCCTTTGACCCTCCGTAGATATTAAACCAAAGAGTTGGATTTGTTTGCAGGGGTGAGATGCGTGCAAATAGATAGAGGATCATCATCATCGCCATCGTCGTCGTCGTCGATTGCTAGCAAGATAACAGTAATGGGTTACATGGGGAGGAAAGAAGTGGTGAGAGCTGTGCTGAAGACTGGGAGGAAGGTGCAGCTTTTGCTCCCGCCACCAGCTGCTGCTGCTGCAATGGCGCCGATGATGAGCATCACCGACGATAGAATAATGGAAGCAGCAAGTCCGAAATTGCCGCGCGGCGGGTTCAGATGCATCATCCCTCAGTGCGCTCGCTTCTACAAGTCTAGTAGGGGTGCTACTGCTAAATCAACGTACTAGTGGTCTCACACTTGCAAAAGGAACTCTTAGATTTTTGGAGCATTAGAATTCTCATCACCAATATTATTATATATGCATTACTCAAGCTAATATTCTGGCTTCCTTTTCGTTCTCGAGCAAAGTTGTATTTAGGAATATGTTAATTTGAAATGAATTCATATAATCAGAACAGATCATGCATTCATAGAGTCGTTTGGATGAGGAATATTAACGAATTAATTTGACCAAATTGCTTTGTTTTGAGTCAATCTGGTCGAATTAATTCGTTTGACATTTGGCAATACACAATTAAGATGAAGCAGTTCTGCCTGGGAAATTTCTAATGGACTCGTTTTGAGGCAATTCAATGATCTGGAGTGGGGGCAGACAATTCAATTGAATCGTTCTTTTTTTTTTTTTTTTTAATGCAATTGAATCGTTTTAAATGAATCATTTTATAAAATTAGACAATTAATTACATTATTTAATTTTTTTTTATTCATCCATCCAAACCACCTTTTTATTTAGATCACTCGTGGAAAGTTACGAGTATAAAGCACAGACCTAACCATCAATTGGTTTGGACCAACAATTAGAAGGATGATTAAAAATCAGGATAGGAGTGGGCTTGGGCTAGTGTTGGGTCTAGACCACGAAGAAGCCTGCATAGAGAAAAGAAACAGGCCCGCAAGGATAGATCGACAAACGGTGAAATACTGAAATTGGTAAAAGAAAAAAAGTTCTGCCTCGGGATAAATCGTCTCGACCTTGCGTCGTTCCTTCTCTTTCAAACTTCCTCTATGGTTCAGGAGGCGGCTTCTGCCTCCAAAACAGAGCGCCGTCGCTTCTATTTCAAACTTTGCCGATGGACGGAAACCATGCCTTCCGATCGCCCATTCACTCCGGCCGCCGTTAAACGCCACTCCTCAAAGCTATGAAACTTCCATACTCTGGCGAATATGAACTGTCCCAACACTGTTGGCGCAGTTGCAAGCCGATACGCTTTCCTTCTCCAGCAGCTCTGCTCTCCTCGCCAAACCCCGCTCTCTGCCTACCTCGCCCGGACCGTCCATGCCCACGCAGTGGCTTCCGGATTCAACCTGCGAGGCCCCATCTTGAACCGCCTGATCGATATATACTGCAAGTCCGGCCGGCTACGGCATGCCCGCCTACTGTTCGACGAAATTCCTCACCCGGACATAGTGGCCAGAACGACGATGGTCACTGCCTACTCTGCTACCGGAAACGTTAACCTCGCGAGGGAAGTGTTCGGTGGAACTCCCAAGGGGATGCGCGATACGGTGTTCTACAACGCGATGATCACGGCTCATTCTCACGACAATGATGGCAATGCTGCCATCCGGCTGTTCTGTGAGATGCAGAGGGACGGCTTCCGGCCTGATAATTTCACTTTTACAAGTGTTATCTCTGCGGTGGGGCTTGTTGCGGAGAGCGAGAAGCACTGCCAGCAGTTGCATTGTGTGGTTGTCAAGTCGGGAACAGGGTTTGTTACGTCAGTGTTGAATGCGCTTGTGTCTGCTTATGTGAAGGTTGCATTGTCTCCTTTGGTGGCGCTACCGAAGTCAGTGATGGGTTCGGCTAGACTGTTGTTTGATGAAATGCCTGTGAAAGATGAGTTGTCGTGGACGACAATGATCACTGGTTATGTGAAGAATGATGACCTTGATGAAGCGAGGGAGTTGTTTGATGGGATGGCGGAGAAATTGGTGGTTGCTTGGAATGCGATGATTTCAGGTTATGTTCATAGAGGGTTGTTGCAGGAAGCTTTCAAGATGTTTAAGAAGATGTATTTATCTGGAGTTCAATTTGATGAGTTTACATACACAAGCATCATAAGTGCATGCGCCAATGCTAGTTTCCTTCTCCTCGGCAGGCAGATACATGCTTACATACTCATCTCAGGGCCTAAACCTAAACCAGGTTTGCATTTGCCTGTGAATAATGCATTGCTCACTTTATATTCAAAATGTGCTAAACTTGATGATGCCCGACTCGTATTCAATAAGATGCGGGTGAAAGACCTGGTATCATGGAATGCGATGTTGTCAAGCTACGTCAATAGTGGTCGCATGAATGAAGCTAAGGAAATCTTCCAGGAGATGCCAGAAAAGAACCTTCTGACATGGGCTGTGATGATAGCAGGGTTAGCACAGAATGGACTTGGTGAAGAGAGTTTGAAGCTATTCAACCTGATGAAACTACAGGGTTTTCAACCATGTGATTATGCATTTGCTGGAGCTATTACTTCATGTGCTGCACTTGGATCATTGAAGTCTGGACGCCAGCTCCATTCTCAACTCATCCGGCTCGGTTTTGAGTGTAGCCTTTCTGCGGGTAATGCACTGATTACCATGTATGGAAGATGTGGCGTTGTAGGGGATGCACGGAATCTATTCCTCACCATGTCATTTGTAGATTCAGTTTCATGGAATGCGATGATTGCAGCCCTGGGCCAGCATGGGCATGGTGTGCAAGCTGTTGAACTTTTCGAAGAGATGCTGAAGGAAGGTATATTGCCTGATCGCATTACCTTCCTGACAGTTCTCTCTGCTTGCAGCCACGCGGGTTTAGTCGAGGAAGGACATCGATATTTTGACGCAATGCACGATATTTATGGCATTACCCCAGGTGAGGATCATTATGCCCGCATGGTTGATCTGCTCTGCCGGGCTGGAAAGTTCTCAGATGCAAATGATATGATAGGGAAAATGCCCTTTCAGCCCGGCCCACAGATATGGGAAGCTTTCCTTGCAGGTTGTCGGAATCATGGGAACATGGAATTGGGAATCCAAGCTGCTGAGCGGCTCTTTGAGATGATCCCTCAAAACGATGGTACCTATATCCTTCTGTCAAATATGTATGCTGCAAAGGGGCTTTGGGATAATGTGTCGAGAGTTAGGAAGCTGATGAGAGACCAAGGGGTTAAAAAGGAGCCTGCATGTAGCTGGGTTGAAGCCGAAAACAAGTTCCACGTATTCATGGTCGATGACACTGCACATCCTGAAGTTAATGCTGTCTACAGTTATCTGAAGCAGCTCGTCTTGGAAATGAGGAAGTTAGGGTACGTGCCAGACACAAGATTCGTTTTGCATGATATGGAATCTGACCAAAAGGAGCATGCTATTTCTACTCACAGTGAGAAACTTGCAGTTGCTTTTGGGCTCCTGAAACTTCCACGAGGAGCCACTGTTAGAGTGTTCAAGAACCTAAGGATATGTGGTGATTGCCACAATGCTATCAAATATATTTCAAAAGTTGTGGGGAGAGAGATTGTGGTGAGAGATGGGAAGAGGTTTCATCACTTCAAGGATGGTGAATGCTCTTGCAGAAATTACTGGTAGTAAATGTTTGTTCCCAGAAAGTACAAGCTTCTGCACTAGGATTAGCAGACGTGTCTGCTGCTGTAGTGCATGCAATCGGGGCATCTAATGGCAGATAATTCCTTCTCCACGCCCGTTGGTTTCCTTCAGCAATTCATGTTTTGCGGGTGAGAAGTTATCGATATCCATTCTAGTTTCCTCGGTTATCCAGAGTTTGCCCTCAACCCTGCAGCATTTTCATGTAAAATTATCCCACTGGCTCCATATTGAGAGCCTTTTCTTTCAGTGGAAGCTACAAGGAATCTATCGGATGTTCAGGCCCTGCCCAATAAGTTGTGGATTTTAAGGTAATACCTCAAGGTCTTGTTGCTTAACTTCAACTACTTAATGCTTAGTTAGATGTGTTAGCCATATGTCATGCCTCTTTATGCATAGTGATGTATACATGTGCTGTGTTACTTGTACAGAGAACCACAGCTTATATGTCTTGAGATTGCGATGCGCCTACTGCCAAGGCACAGAGGCTCGCTTGATGAGGCATACTGTGATGTTTAATCAGGACTGAGATGGCAATTGGCATCAGAGTCCTTCACTGGGAGCAATGCCACATCCTTGCAAGTTTAAACATCCTCCAGGTGAAGGTCTGAATCACCTGGAGGACGGTTAGACTGTGGTTGGGGGAAGGATACACCAGTCCGGGGTGCATTTGCGAGATGATCCTCCCGCTTCTTTATCACGACGAAGAAATGCTGATGAGCCATGGACAGATGAAGAATACACCCATCCACGGAGCGTTTCGAACTGTTACTTGGTAATCTCTGCTTCACACCTACCATCCGAAGCACGTGTCTTACCCTGGACGACCGTCATGCTTCTGCAGCTGTGTAGCTGAAACAGTCTGCGCAAGGTTGGTTGCTGCTCTTTAGATTGGGCAAAGAAGGCCTGGAGGTTGGTGCGTATACTCTCAAGGACTAGCGAACATTTTTCCAGGGTGCTTGAGGATTGTAGAACTCCCTTGTGTTTGTCATTTATTCATGCCACTCATTTTGAATTTCCGTACCTGCCACATTTTTTTTAGGGTAGAAGCCAGCCACATTTTTTATTCTTGTAATTTCTCCTCTATGGTAGATCTTTGTGTTAGTCTTTTGATTAGCATTTGTTATCCTTTTCAAATCACTTGTTAGTCGGTGTTCGAAAAAGTAACCAATAACCAATTATCCGGTTACTAGTTAACCGAGTAACATAAACAGTGGTAAACAATGATCCGATATAACCAATTATCCGGTTACTAGTTAACCGAGTAACATAAACAGTGGTAAACAATTATCCGATAATCGGATAAACCGCTACATTTATAACCCAACTGGCAAACAGCATAGGGGAACATACAGACAGACAGAACCCTTCCCTGCTGCTAAAACAGTCTCTTCCCTCTTCTTGCAAATGCAACAACCATAACATCAAATGCAACAACCATAACATCGACTCTTGGACTCATGTACCTTAAAAAAATGGGTGAAAAAGTAGGAGACTTTGTCCTCAAACCAAAAAAGCCAAAGATCCAAGGCTGCTTGTCTGGAAGCAAGAACAGAGCATTGGAGCAAAGAAAAAGGCCCAAATGCAGAACTCACTGAATCGAAAATAAGATCAAGATAAACTTCACTTAAGCAGTAGCAATCCTAGCTGCCAAAGGAATCTCGCCAGAGGGCAAGCACACTCTGCACACAAACTCATAATTCTACTGCTATTGCTGGTCAAGTTGCAGGCTTGGTTCCAATACCCACAATAAGCAAATAACATTATTAAGAACTTCAAAACCAAGCTTCTCACAATTCCACATAATCCAAGAACCACAATCATAACTGAAAGTTACATGGGAAATAGAAGAAAGCTAAAAAGGTTGTTTATGCTTTGGTTCCCTTGATACCATGTTGAAAACATTGGATCACCTTAAAGGGTATCTACCCATTCAAGGTCCAGCGTCAGAAAATCATCCATTTCAAGATCATCAAGTGAGTCTTCTGACGCTGCTTCTGCCCCCTTCTCTTCGGATGCCCTCTTCTTAGCAGCTGCACTAGAAACTGGTAAATCAGAATCTGATTTATCAGCATGCACCGGTGTTCTAACTGAAGAAGAAGAAGAAGAAGACACCAAGGTTAAGCCTGAAGTGCCTCGCGAGAAAGCAAATTTATTAGCAATGGCCTTTATCTCTGCTTCTGACAGTGAATCCATGGGGGCCTTAGGGAGTTCTGGCCGTCTATCACCTGGAAAATTGAATTTCCCACACTCACCACGGACACAATACAGGGCAGCATCATATGCTCTAGCTGCCTTGTCTGCTGCATCATATGATCCCAACCACAACCTTTTCCCCATTCTTGGAACAGAAATTTCAGCAGCAAACTTACCCAACGCCCTCGTACGAACACCAATGTAATCTACCACCCTTTTCCTCCTTCGAATAGTTTTCTTAGGAGCAGATGGACTGGAGGGGCCAGATTGATCCATAGGTAGAATGCGAATAAGAAAAAGTGTAGTCCTAGATTTATAGAGCTAAAGGGGAAGGTAAAAAACTTTAATCAAGAGGATTGGCTGTCACCAGGTAAGCAATGGAGCTCATGCACAACACAGGTGGAGATAACACGACACAGCATGCACTGATACATGCTGCACGTGGAAGCCGAGGTACAACGTAGTCAACATATGTTATCAAATGCACTGATATATGCAATGCGAAACCGAAAAGTTAACTTCTTTAATAAGAAAGCATTGAAAATAACTTGTCTGTTTTGCGGAATGAAGATCACTTGCAGACAGAAATGCAATAAGATTGGCCACCAGGAAGTTGACTAGAAAAAGAAAAACAGATTTATTTGGAAATCTAGTCAGCATATCACACAAAAAGGGCTGTAAACTAAAGCCCGAATCCCTCTTTTCCTCGAGTTCAAGAAACAACAAGACCTCATAAATGCTAATCAGTTCAAAATCCAGACAACGATCCTCAGCCGTAAGAAAATCTTCACCATGAGCAAATCTGAGATTGTGTCACCTAGATGCTTTTCTCTGAAGCCTTCTTGATGTCTTGGACAATACATATGGCCTGTTACCAAGAAAAATGGCATAATAGACAAAAAGATTGATGAATAATCTTGACAGTTTCAACAGAAAACACAGAACAAGGGAAGGAAAAAGATGAGCCATTATGTGCATGTAAAGCCTGCCTTTTCACGGCCCCATCTCTTGCATGAAAGAGAATCCCACCAAAAATATTATGGAAATCAAAGAACCCACCTCAATGTACACTGAATTATGCATCTCATATCACCTAAGATCCTGAGACCAGTATTGCCAATGAAAGATACAATGCAATGTGTACTAACATCGTTCTTGTTTCTAGTCCAAGCAGTTAAAAGCATCGAGATTTTCAAGTTAACAAGCACGGAAGCAATATGTTTCAGCACAGCATGCAATCAAATGACATTGAGGAACACCACTACCAGCTATGCTCCATCCTTTGGAGTTAATCACGCTTCATCTAATGCCTAGTTAGGGAATAGTTCTTAGTATAAATTGCAGCAGTAGATGTCAAAACTCAAAGAACAGACAGCAATCCGAACTCAAAATTTCCCAGAGCCAGGGTGAGAAGGCAAACTATCAAGGAGATTCATCGTGCTCTCACCTTAAGAGGTTGAAGACGCTGCAAGTTCAGACGAAGCAGTTGATGCAGTCTGATTAGCCGCAGAAGGAGGAACGTATATCCGTGCTTTCTTCAGAATGTCCGCAACAACCCAACGCTTATGCTTGCTCAATGGCCTCGAAGGATCCAATTTCACCTGGACACAAGGAATTCCATAAACGTAGAACCCAAGTCACCCTCCATTTGCAGTTGTAAATAGCATAAACAACACCACCCCAAACTTCACCGTGGAACAGAAGTTTCAAATTAACAAATTGAATCCTTCTTCTCCCAATTAAATGGCAAACCACGTTGATCCCAGATACTTTATGGAGGAAAAGCTGTGTTCTTTTCGAGCAACAGTATGGATTTCATACAAATTGAGCTGGGAACGAGCTCAAGGAGAGCTCTAAGGAAAGACGGGAGCGGGGAAAAATACAGGCGGGCAAAGAACAATTACCCGATCTCCAATGTTGCAGGCGTCTTTCTCGTCGTGGGCCATGAACTTGGAGGTGCGCTTGACGTAGCGATTGTAGACCTTGTTGTGGAAGAGCCTGTCGACGGCGACCACCACCGATTTCTGCATCTTGTTAGAAACGACGACTCCTACCACCGACTTCATCTCCTCGGACTTCCCAACCAAACTCACGTCTGCTTCTTTCGTCCCCTGTCCTTGCCGACCAGTGAGCCCTTCAAAAACCCTAAACCCCTGCCCTCGCCGCAAAACTTCCTCTGGCTTCTCACAGTGACACTGCTGTCGAGCTGGAAACCGAGCTCGCCGCAGCTTCGATGAGTCGCCATTGTAAGAGATTGGGCCTATCGTTTAGTGAGGCAGGCCCAAATAGCTGGGCTCCGAAGCTCAGGAGAGCAAAGTAACCTCAACGGGTTGAGTGACCCAAATAGGCTTACGCTGACACAATTTCGACCAAGGGAACTTGCAAGTTACAAGGCAATAAAAATTCAACTGAAATTGGTCCCATTGCCCTAACAATTTTGCTATATGAGAATTGAGAACCATCTTTTAAGCATTGGACATTATTGAGATTGGACATTATTGAATCATGCACCGACAATTTTCGACTGTTAATTGAACCCGATGATATTTTATTTACAAAAAGTCGTTACGTCAATCCAACAACTACTGAAGAAATTATCCATGAACGATCCCGCTCAGCACCTGTGAGATTATTCTCTATGTCTATGAACAATTAGATGGATAGAGTTACCTGAAAGTTGAAACATATAGGCGTAAGCCTATATATCCATCTTCATAATCTAAAGTCGCATCACCATCATCTAAAACCTAGAGAAACAATTGATCTTTCAACCAATCAGCATCCCAGTGAAAAAACACAAGACCCCTCTCAGTGAACTTACCTGTTCTGGAACTATACTCATCCATCGACAATGGCTGCCAAGCGCCAAATCAGAATGTCATCAAAGAATCAACGCTTAACAATGGTCTTTTTTCCGTTACCCTAGCCGCCTTTCGTATCACGCATAGAGAGAAAACGGTATAAGTTCGGATAACTTTGCTCACTTAAGTTACGAACATTCGACTTTCATTGCTCAACTAATACAAAAATGTTTGTGAGGCCAAAATTTTTAGGGAACATGATGTGTGCACTGCAGGAAATCATAATACATCTGGAGAAGCTATCAAAGCTGCAGCATTGTTTTTCAGCGTCTTCCTTGCTCGCCAATGTACAGCATTTGCAGTCCCTGACGTTCCCATCTGTACCACAAATCAGCAAATATTTGTCAAGCTTCAGACACAATCAGAGAATATCTACCCTATGTAATAGATTAACGTGGACCGAAAATAAGCTTGTTCCCATGGCTACAACTCAAATATGATGGAGTACTGGTAGGAGATACTTAACCAGGCCAAACCACATGTGCACTTGTATTTCGCAGGATCTGACTACAATTTAAATGTGCAGAATGACAAATGATTTGGGGTCTTCGTTTTCGGTTGGGGTTGTGATCGAAACTGCACCAAAATGCTTTGATGAGCCAACCAATTGTTGGCACGGTGCAGTCAGGGGTAGGAGGTGCATGTGCAGTTTGGGGTGGTTTAGGGCAAAACCAAGGGCATTAGGGAGGCAGAAGTAGTGCTAAGTGCCAACGGGTTGCTATGCAAAAAAATATGTAGGAAATAGCCAAAAAGGATACGTTCGATTTCGATGAATTGAGGACAAGCAAAGCCAGTGTTTACCTTAATTTCCATCGAATAGTAATCTTGCCACAAACTCAAGTCCTGGTCGTAAGTTGAGAGTGCAGAATCGTACAACTTCCGAGCATTTACAAGGCATTGCTTGTCACCAAGAGAGGCGAGGTTCTGTTCCAATTCAATGCACTTTCTGTACAAAGAAAGGTCTGGATGAGGAAGGGCAAGAAATCTGCATATTAACACAATGAAGGTTAGAGGTCACATGGTAAGAGTTTCTCTGTGTGCAAATTGTGAAAGAGTTGCTAGACATCCATAAGCAAAAGCATATACCTCCCATATATCTTTCTAGCATCCTGGAGCCCATCTTTGTGAAGGATAAAGTTTACTACTGCAGAAGAGAGTGAGAATCCATAATCACTGCCGGCACTTTTAGCTACAGCAGTAATAGACATCTCAACCAACTTATCAGAGTAATCCCTTTCAAGAGCAAAGAACTTGAGTGCCTGCAGTCGAAGAAGAGTACAAAGAGAGCAATGATTACGAAGAGAGAATAGCAGAACAATTTAATTTGTCACCTATACACAAGTTTACAAGAATATATTACTAATCAATCCATCTATGTTTCCGCGAGATAAACTAAGTATCTAGAATCTCCTCTAGCAGTGAAACCCTTGATGTCTGGCTTCGGCAGTAGCTAACATAGTCATCAAAATAATCACAAATTGGCTATGGGGGAAAAGGTTCCAAAATGCAAAGTTACAGAAGCATACCATGAGCCAAAGTTCCTCCGACTTTGATAGTGGCACTTTAGCCAGCGCGTCTCTAATTAAACCAAAAATGGAATCCAAGCTGGCCTTACTTTGCGAAAGAGCATCCCTTGTGCAATGTCTAATTTCCATGGAGGCCCTTAAGAGCCATAACTTAGATGAATTTGCAAGATCTCCACTGCAAAGGTCTCTTGCCAATTTTCGGGCTTCATCAAATCTTCCCAATTGCAAATACAATGAAGCATATCTGCAAGCTAGATCCTCTGACATGCACCCTACTAGCTCGGCCTTCTCATATGCCGTTAAAAGACGTGAAATCCAATCTTCTGTACAAATACACAACTGGGTGTTTCCATCTTTGGGGACGACAACATCCATCAAAAATTTTGTGTACAGGTCAAACATAACAGAAGAAGGCACAACTTCTAAAGCCTCTTCATAGACCTGCAAACAACAACTAGCCGGTATGATATCTTGAAAGCAATATATTTATATTGATAAGAAGGGAAAACTAAATATTTAGAAGTTCTTGACTTTTGGATATCAATAAATGAGTGGAATTGATAGGGATTTGTACCTTCACTGCCTTCTGTAATTGTTCCAGCATGAGATCATCACTTATTCCCTGGTTACTTTGAGAATGTCTCAGTTCACGTCTAGCAAGCCATTCCCAGTATTTGGGATCCTTTGAAAAGTCTCTTTTCATATCACTTAGGATCCTTTCACGCATGTCTTCTGAATGTGCCAAGTCTGTGGCTTCCAATATCTCGAGTAACCGCTCTCTAAGGCTAAAACTTGAAGGCAAGGCTTCCACTGCACCACTATAAACTGCCTGGAGAATGTTCTGACCTTGCTCTTTAAATATATCTACTTTATCCTCGGACTCCTCATTGTCAGTGTTTGATCCATCAACATTTTTCCTTTCCTCATCAAGTGACAAGAATAAATCTTGGTTATCCTCTCTCCACTCTTTTTCACCAGCATCTCCATCTTCACGAACCAGACTTCCCCTGCCCTCTCCAAGAGCAACCTTTCTTGCTTTCAGCTTGTTGAGGTATGTGAGCTCCATCCGGAGGTACTCTACCCAGAGATCGTCTGAAGTCGGGCACACCCTCAAACCACTTTGCATAAGGGCACGAGCTGCTGCAACATTCAAATTATGGTCAAATTCCCATGCTGCGGCGTAAATCCAAACTCCTGGAACCTTTGGATGAAACCTAATTAGTTGAGCTAGGACCTGCACAGGAAAAGGATGCAACTTGAGCAGAAAAATGGCAGGACAAGCCAACAACTTGCATTTTAAGAATAGAACCATGTGGTCGTTCTTTCGAAGCTTACACAGAAATAACACAATAGCAAACTGGAGGAACCAAAAATTAAAAGCACGTCTTTCGTTTCTCCAATCTTTGCCAGCTAAGTTCCTCTATCAAGTAAGTGTTAAGAGATGATAGTAAAATTGCAGCTCCGGTGCTTTCCTTTCCTCCTAGTTCAACTATTCAAACCAAACGTCAAGAGAAACAGAGGTCCCATTTCAAACAACACCAAAATCAAAGGACCATTTTCATCACATTCTCCATCTCTCACAGAATGACGAGAAGAATCTCGGTGTCATGCTATCGAAGAATAAGCCAAACAGGAACCACAACCCAAAAGCTGAAAATGACACATATAGTACCTTCTTCATTCTTCCATTGCTCCGCTCCCTACAGAACTCCAAATAACGAAGCCAGAGGTCGACATCCCCCTTGTATCTCAACACGGCGAGCCGATAAATCTCGACAATCCTCGACACTCCGGCGAAGTCAGAGACCGAGAGCTTCGTCCTCTTGTTATCCTTCTTCTTATCGAGATCCCGGGCCACGGATCTCTTGCGAAGGCGGCGAAGCGTGTCGAGCTGGGTCTCGTAATCTATGTAGGTCAAATAGTCCTGCTTTAGAGGACTGGGGCGCTTCAATCTGTACTCGAACTTCCGCCTCTGCTTAACAATCTCGGCTATCTCCCGGCGGGTGAACAGTCCTCGACGCTCTAGGTCATCGAGCTCCTCGACCATGCGCTCCAGGCGGTACTGCACCGTGTCCGCCATTTTCCGAGTTTGGTGAGTCGACGCAGCTCAACTCGGGAAGGGGGAATGGCGGAGGAAGAAGAAGACGACTTATGCAGAAAAGATACAGATACGCTAGGGTTTAGCCAGCGCGAGGTTTTGGCACAGACTTGTGAATTTGTGATCTAATTTTTTTACGGGTCAATTACAAATACCATCATCAAATTTTGGGTTATTACCAAATTGATTCCGATCTTTAACAAATAAAGGCTGTAAACTGTAAAGTAAATTTGGTGGAGGGAAAAATGAAGGAGGCTATGGGTTGAACAGTGGAAATTTCCATTTTAATTTTGGAATCCTTTGTTTCTATGTTTTTTTAGGCAAAAATGGGACCGGATCACCTCAGTAATCGTATCATTGGTAACCATTAGTAATCACTCCATCCAACGTCCATCACATCTTCTTGTGAATCGTCAGATCATGCAAAGTAAATACATGCAGGAGCAAAATAGTAACCATACGGCTCTGACAATTTGAAAAGCAGAAATGACATTAAACCGTCCCGCCTTCTCTCCTTCTTTCTCTCATCTTTCACACGACAGTTTTATTTTGCTCTGCTGTCTATCTCTCGATTCTTCCTCCCGATCCTCAATTCTCTCACCAAAATCGCACCAAAAACTTCAGAAAAAACACTTCATAAATGATAAATCTTGATTTTATTATAAAGTCTATGAATCTTAAAATCTTGATTTTACAAAAAGCTTAATAACGGATTATCATACATTGATCCAAACTAGAAATATGCAAGTAGGGGTGTTCAAACGGTTTGGTTACCGTGGTAACCGTTTTAACCGGTACTATTTGGATAATTTGGTTTGGTTAATTTGGATAATTGGTTTGGTTTGGTTAAAGTTTTTAGCTTGTTTGGTTTAGGTAGTTTGGTTTGGTTTCAGACACTCCTAACTAGTCAAACCAAATTAACCAGTTAAGTAATTAGTCATATATCTAACATATATTATATACACATACTTAATACTTTGCATAACCACTCAATAGTTAACGTTCATCCCTTTTAGACTCATAAAATATAAAGCTAAATATTGCTCATATAGTGTATATTTGTATATGTAAAGTGTAGACCACAACATATGGACGCCTAATTTAGATAAATTTCATACATTATGATGGATGAAAACTTGAAAGGAAGGTCATTTCCAGCCTATGATAATTGCTAAGAGACTAAGTCAATTTACACAAACACAACAATTCATTAACCCATACCATTGTCATAAATTTTTGTTAGGTGAATACTTCTATACTAATCATAAGATAATTGTCTTAGTTGCATGTATTTTTGTTAAGAGTCAACTATAACTATGTGTTGATTGTTATGTTTTATTCATTATATAAATTACGAATTGTTGCATTAACCGGAAAATTTTCATCGTCAATGATAATGTAATTTTATATTGGTTAATCTGGTTAACCAATTAACCAAACCGATTAAACTTTAGTTTGGTTAATTTGGTTGTTGTATTAGTTTGGACGGTTTGGTTATGATATTGTATTCCATGGTTAACAGAATTTGGCCTTATTTAGTTTGGTTATAACCATGGTAACCATTTGAACACCCCTATATGCAAGGAGGGTTACTATTTGCCGCCCGCCTCATTAAACTAAAATGACATTTTTACCCTTTGTTCATTTTTTATAAAATAAACTTCATTCCACCACTACTGTCGCCGGCGCCAATCCACCACCGCCGCCAAATCGCCGACGTCGCCACCACCTCCAGATTACCACCGCGGCCAGAACCAAATCACCACAGCCGGCGGGAGGACCCCGTCCGACGCCGGCGGGAGAGCGGACCGTGCATTAGCGACGGTTTCAAAACCGTCACAAAATTCGTCGCTAAATGATAATAATTATTTAACTCAATCTTCTATTTTTTTTAATATTATATCATGCTAATAATTATATGTATGTTTATTAATTGTATTTATGAATTAGAAAAACTAAAAATTATTCATAAGAAAAAAAATTAAATTATAGAAAATATTGTACAAACTAATTCATACTTATTTTATAATTATGTAAGTAGAGCTAAAATAAATAAATTCAGTATAATAGCAATTAAATAATTATAGTATGTTAAATAATTACAAATGATCTGAAGTAGTGTATAAGAAAATGGATATTTAATCATAAATTATCATAAATATTGTATAAACTTATGAATAATTCATTTTAATTATGTATAATAGTTATAAAATATTTATAAATTTTGATTAAACCTTTTTTTAATTATATTTATTTCATATTTAATAAGATCATCGTACCTAAAATATGTTTTATAAAACCTCCAAGGAATCGAGGCACGAAGAGGACTCTTTGCGGCTCGGGGAAGGTCGGGCAAAAACATCTTTTACAAATTACTAGAGTCACCGACATGAAAAAATATTGAAACTTTCATCGATCTCTTAAAATGTGGATACAAATGTGTTGGAATCGATTGTTTATCAATCGGACATTCCCGACAAAAAGAGATGAATAGTGCCAAAACTTTCATCGAGGTGTTTTTAGGGCTCTGGGGGTGGTAACTAGGAGTTTCTTGAGCCTATCACGTATATTTCCACGAGACGAAATATTATTGTTAGTGGAGGAAGAGATGATTTTGCCTCTAAAATAATTTCCTAGTAGGATTGGATGGATCGAGGTTGAAGGTAGCTATTCAAGGGGAATGAGGGTTTAGGGTTTCAGAGGAGTATAAGGTATAGGAGGTGGATGAGATGCTTTCCTTCTTTATTGTCATTATTGGTCCAGTTGAGTCGAGTTGATTCTTATTGTTGTTATCCGTCATCTTGGGTGAGATTATTTCAACTGTGGTCAAACCCTAATTAAGTCAAACCCTAATTCGAATCAAACCCTAATTAAGTCAAACCCTAATTTCCTCAAACAACTATGGTCAAAATAATATATAATTTAGTCAAACCCTAATTCGGGTCAAACCCTAATTAAGTCAAACCCTAATTATATCAGACCTTAATTCGGGCCAAACCCTAATTAAATCAAACCTTAATTCAGGTCAAACCCTAATTCGGGTCAAACCCTAATTAAGTCAAACCCTAATTTCCTCAACCAACTGTGGTAAAATAATATATAATTTAGTCAAACCCTAATTCGGGTCAAACCCTAATTAAGTCAAACTCTAATTCCCTTAACCAATTGTGGTCAAATTAACAATTATATACTAATTATTCAACTATCAATATTAAACTAATTAAGATACTAACAATTGTATTTAAAATAAATCTAATAAATATTTATTTAAACCGAACCATTCAGACCGAATCATAAACCCAATCAGATCGGTCCGACCAGACCGGGCGGACGGGGTCCGACCAGACCGGGCGGACGGGGTCCGCTCCGGCCAGTCGGACCGCGTCCGCTCCGGCTAGTCGGACGGCGTCCGCTCCGGCCAGTCGGACGGCGACTGAAAAAAAAAATAAAAAAAATTCCCTCCGCCGAGCTTGGGAGGTTGGTGGCGGCGAGAGCGAGCGAGGAAGTCGGCGGCGGCGGAGGGAGGAGTCGGCGGCAGGAGGTTGGCAGGAGGGAGGAGTCGGCGACAGCGGGAAGTCCGGCAGGAGGAGGGTCGTCGGGGGCGGGAGGTCGACAGGAGGAGGGAGGGTTGAAGGGGGCGGCAGCAGATGGGTTGAGGGTGGGATAGGGTTAAGGACAAAATCGTCTTTTTTTTCTAACTACGGGCGGCAAATAGTAAAACTGCGGGCGGCAAATAGCGATTCATATATGCAAGTGCCATCTAGTAATAACTCCTTAATCCCAATGACAATCCAAAAACAACAAAAAAACACGTGGCGGCAGCAGAGTGCACAGAAATTTAATATCTCCAGAAGTAGTTGTAATAATTTTGATATATTTTTTACTATAAATAGCAACAGATGAACGGCCAAGGCGGGATTTCCTTCTCTGCTCGTCTTCTCCATCTCTCTCTCTTTCCACTTATGGCAGCAACACCACTCGCCCGAGTCCACTCGGCCACCACCGCCTCGGCTCGTTTTCAACTCGGTCCTTGTGATTCTGAGTCGACTCAGCACCTCCTCTGCTCCACTTGAGCGAGTTGTAAGTTTCCTGCAACTCCATTTATGCATTCATATGATCTGTCTGGGGGAGTGTTCATTCATTCATTCATATGTGAGAAAGCACAAGCAGGAATAGCCTTGACAATGGTGGTGGGTCTTCCATCCCAGTCCTTTATTGCTTCTCAATTGGGTTTCTGACATGGGTGCCTTGTGATGTGATCAAAGGAGTTACTGATTTCGTTTCTCAAAATCAATTTTCTTCAGAAAGTTCCCGTTTTCTTTTCCTTGGCAATTTTTTTTTGTTGTTGAAATTTCTCCGAGTCAAGTCGAAAGAAAGAAACTGGAACCTTTGGCCTTCGGATGTTTGCTGTGCCAACTGGGGTTTGTTTGTTTTGCTGTTTAGCTTTCCTTTCTACTGGAATTTGTAAATTTCACATCGGAGAAACCCTCTAGTTTGCTTTTCTTTGTCGGTTTGGGTGCATTGTGTGGATGTAAAGAGTAGGAGATAGAGATGAGGATAAATAAAAGAGGAAGGTTAGGATTGGCCCTTTTATGGATGGAATTTAATGAATGGTGGGTAATGTTACTTGGGCATATTGTTTTTGCCAATTGACATGTATGTATGGTATGGTATTTATGTATGTATGTGTGCATGTCATGGAAAAGGAAATGATGATTGAGCCCTTTGTGAACTCTCCATCTCAAAACATATGTGGTTCCTTGAGAAGAGAAGGAAAGGGGATTGGATTTGTGTGGTTTGGGATGGAACTTGAACTAGAGGCATAGATAGAATTTTTAGTTGCCTTGCAGCCTGTTAGCCAATTGGCCTAGAGCACTGTTCCAGCTCATGGATAAGATTGTTTATACGTCAAGGACTGTGTTATACATTGTCCTTGCACCTTAGGGCACTTAACTCCTCTTGACGATAAAAACAAACAAATAGCTGAGGTTTTATTAAGGGAGTTGCTAAAGGTCGCCCTTAAAATTGCTAAAGGTCGCCTTAAAAAGAATAAAAGTTACACTTTTAACCCTCATAGCTTCTTTACCTTCCCTTCCTCAAACAAACATCACTTGGACTAAAAAAACACTCTCTAAGGAGAGAAAAATCTCTCATCGTCATTTTGAAGCCGATATCGTCGATAGGACGTCTGAATCATGAGTAGCGACTCCGACGAGGTAAGAACATGAACCGGAAAAAAAAAACACAGAAAATGGGAACCGCGGGTGATTTGCGGTCCGACCATGGTCCAACCGCAAGTGACCTGCGGTTGGACCATGGCCGGACCGCAAATCACCTGCGGTTGAGTCAATGGGTGATCCGTGGGTGCGATCTAGTCAGAAACCAGTCAACGTACTCCTCCACGATCTCCGATGGCTGCTCGCACGGCCGAGAAGCAAAATCCAACTCTAGACGACGAGCTGCCACGTTATCCCACAACTGATTCACCCACGGATCCCAAAAGACTATGTAACTGCTGCCGGAAGCCGGACGGTACTGGTCATGTGGTACCGTCATAGCAGCGGGGATAATCTGTCGGTATCCAAACTGGCGCAGACAACGTGAAGGATCGTATCCCTCAGCAATGTCAGAAAAGCGAATGGGGCCAGTATACAAGGAGCGGGGTATATCTGTGTGGCCATCTCGTCCGTACGGAGTCCACGTCACATCATCAGCTGAAAGCTCATCCAACAACTGTCGATAACGTACTAACCTCTGTCTAGCCTCATCCCCACCTGGCAAACGGGGAGAAATCCACGAGGAAGCACGAGGTGCATCCGGAGACTGTGGCAGCTGGCTCGGACGGAAAAGAGGAAAGTACTCATATATCCAAGCCTGAAGCAGGGTCAAACAACCACAAAGACCCTTACTACCCGCTCGTGTGGCCACTCCCAACTGTCTGTAGAGATAGGCTAGTGCACCAGCTCCCCAAGCGTAATCAGCCAATCGTCGATGATCCTTCAGAAACAAGTTGATCGCAGGACGAAGGCGATCACGACTCTTATCCACAAAAAGCGTGGATCCCAGTAACACAAACAGGTAACACTGCACCTCCATCTCCTTAATCTTCAGCTCTCCCCCACGCACCAACAATCCCTCTGCATGCATAGCACCATTATCGTACCACTTAGACTTCCACTTACCACCAACCTGAGCATCCACCGAAAGTCGAACTAGACCACCCATGTCTGACTTAAGAGTATCCTGCGACGCCTCATCTCCCATCAGCTGTCCGTCAACCGGTATCCGAAGAATGTGATGCACATCGTGTAGAAGGATCGAAATCTCTCCAAACGGCATGTGGAAGGTGTTTGTGTCCGGCTACCACCTCTCCACAAATGCCGACAGTAGAGCCATGTCTAAATGCTGCATCATGCACCCTGTCAAGTGAGACAATCCTGTGGCTTCAACCATCTCCTTGGAACCCTCTGCACTCCACTTATATCGCCTCAAAGTCTCTACAGCTCTCGGCCTATGGAAGCCGTCCAACACTCCACGGTCCTGCTCAGGGGAATTCCACAGTACCAAGCCAATGTGACCTCCAAAGCTAGGGATCACATCGGGAATCACTGGTCCACCTGAACACATCGGAGACTCGGCTGTAAGAAACCACGACATATCTTTCCTCGTGGTCTTCCTCTTCCTATTTCCATCTCCGCCATCCTCGCTACTAGGTCTGGACGCATAGCGTCCATCGGGCCCACGGAAGTGGGAGGAGGCAGTAGAAGATACCTCGACCCGTGCCGTCTTCCCCACGCCTAAATCAGCTTGAGGTGGGGCATCCCCAGCCTCAGCATCACCAGCACCATCAACAGCATCATCAACAGCAGCATCACCAGCAGCAACACCAGCATCTGGGGCATTCCCAACCTCAGCATCACCGTCATCATCATCATCCTCGTCAATGGAATCACTCCAATTAGCCTGCCATACCGGTGCGGTATCTGGTGTAGGAGTACTGGTAGTGCCTCGACTAAGAGACAACTGCCCCACAGTAGGGTGGCCGTCAGGACGCACTACATCCGCCTTCTTCTTCCTTCTAACCTTAGGTGGATTTTTTTCTTCATTTTCCTTCCTACCAGTCGCCGTAAGTCTACAAGCACGACCCTCCATTCTCTCCTTATTTCTCGCCTTAATCATATCCGGTTTACCCATTCCATGTCCAGACATCTTCAAAAAAAAGTTTGAATTATTAATAATGGAGTACATAAAGTAATTAATTTAAGATTTTCATAATTAAAATTATAAAACTAATAGTTTTAACATTATGTTACGTAATAATTATTTACTTTTTAATCAAGGTCAAATTATTAATAATTAAGTAGATAAACGAATTACTTAGAAATTTTGATTATTAAAATGATAAAAACACATTTTTAATTTATTCATAATGTTCTTTAAATCTGTTATCTTCAATTAACAATTATCGAATACGATTTTAAATTTTTTTATATTATATAACTAAATTATAACTAAATTAATATTATAACTAAATTAACATTTATCGAATACGTTATTATTAATTATCATTATAACTAAATTAGTATTTATCAATAATATAACTAAATTCTTTTATTATGTATATTTTTAAATTTTTTTATTATTATTAACATTTATTTAACGAATAATAAAACACAGAATTTAAAAAACAAAATTAAAAAAAAAGGCCCGAACCGCGGTCAACGTGCGGTCAAACCGACGGTCAACCGCGGTCAACGCGCGGTCCGACCAGCGGCTGACTGCGGTCAAAGGGCGGTCGACCGATGGTCAAACCGCGCTTTGACCGCGGTCAGCCGCTGGTCGGACCGCGCGTTGACCGCGGTTGACCGTTGGTTTGACCGCACGTTGACCGCGGTTCGCCTCTGGTCAGACCGCGGTCTGAGTGCGATTGATACCTTCTTCTCCGGCGGGGAAGCGCGGGCGGCGAGGCTGGCACGGCGGCGAAGGATGGCGGCTTGCGGGCGGCGGGCGCCGCGCGGGAGGCGGCTTGCTGGCGGCCTGTGGGCGGTGGGGGGGGGGGGGGCGGCCGGAGGCGGCTTGCTGGCGGGCTGTGGGCGGTGGGGGGCGGCCGGAGGCGGGCTGTGGGCGGCGGGGGTCGGCGGGACAGCGGCGGCCGGCGGGCCAGGCGGCGGCCGGCGGGATTTGTTGCAGAGAGTTTTTTTTTTTTTTTTTTTTGACAAAGGGTGAGAGAGGAGTTGAGGGGGGAGGGAGAATGAATTTGAATTTGAAATAAGGGCTTGTTTGTTTTGAGTGTTTGCTTAAGGGCATGTAGGTAATTTTATATTTTAGTTAGGGCGATGTTTAGCAATTCTTAGGGCGACATTTAGCGATTCAGTTTATTAAGAGCTAGCGGAGGGTAAGCATTAAGCAAGGAAATGCTGTTTTTGTTGTTGTTGTCTTTTTGGACGGGTTAGGCAAAGTGTTTGTAGCTTTGACGTTGAAGTCACATCTATAGACTTGAAATTCAAGGATTCACAAGTGGACTAAAATGTAAGCAAGGAAGTGTTTGTAGCTGTAACGAAGAACTCACATCTATAGACTTGAAATTCAAGGATTCACCAGTGGACTAAAATGTTTGTAGTGTGCCTGTTGCTATTGCCTTCTACAAGTTAGGGACCAGTGTAGGAATCGTGTTGCATGGTCCTATTCCTAAATGAATTGAACAGAAAGACTTACTGTATGAGATGGATCCCAAGTTGCTTTGTCGTTATTGTTGACTATGAAGTTTCCATCTACTTCTTTATGAGTGTGGTAGCCCAATCTATCTACCCAACTATTTTCTAGGGGAAGGCAGATCAAGTTCATCAATCCACAACACATGTGGGTGTATGAAGAATTGGAGGAGAGCAATTAATAATTTTGAGTTGTAGTTGTTTGATAATGAAGTGACAGAATTTATCACTCTGTCTATGAGGTCCCCATGCTGTAAATGGGGCTTGACTTGTGGTCTGAATTTCTTCTTTTTAACTGTTCCTTTGAGGCCAGTAACTATTCATGACACAAAATAAACCCTGTCGTGGGTAGCTCATTTGTTGTTACCACTTTCCTGGAATGATGAGAGTGTCAGTTGCTAGGCATCCGAAGGTTTGATACTGTCCAACTATGTAGGTTCTGTTCGTAAATGAATTAAGGTTATGTTACTGGCCTGATTCCTTCCGAATATTTGTCCTAATGTTGATGATTATAGCTAATGCTATGCTAGGAACTTTTGTACCTTTTATTTCTGTTCTGGAGTTTTGGTATGTTAAAAAAGGAAGATGCTAGTTTCCCTTTGAAATCTATGGTTCTGGTGCAATTTATAGCAGGAGTGCTGACTCAAATGCTACTGTTGATTGGAGAGGAGACGGTAAGAATCTGTAACAAAAGTTTGGATTGTCGGATATGGTATATTCTTTACTGATGTGGTTCTAAATTCTTTTGGTGCTCTCTGAGTAGGATTCTGTTTAGATGGAGGCTGGTGGAGGATTTTATTGCCTGTGCTGCTGCGGTGAATTTGTGGCTGGTGGTGGTGGTGGGGATGCTGTGTTGTGACCATTCGGGTGGCATGTGCCAAGTGTTATTGTCTTGGCCAGAACGGGAAGGGGGAAGATCCACTTGAAGACCTCTGACAAATTTAATTCCACTTGTTTGCTTGATGGGAAAGTAGATTAATCACCTCGTCTGAAAGTGACATCCTTTTTTTCTGGGCCGAAGGGCACCTTTTATTTCGTGTTTGTTTTCATCATCTTCATTTCTGTGGTACCTGGAGCCCTCTTTAAAAATCAGGGGAAGAGAGGTTGGTAATCTGTTTTCCTTGAAGGGAACATCAGAAGTTTCTCTTTAAAAACTGTTGTATCTCCATTCTCAACTCTGGGTTTTGGAAGGTGAAACAACTGCAAACCTAAAGGTTCGTGCTTGAAGCCAATCTCAACTTTCCTTAAGTCACTTGAGATGAAATTTACCCTTATCCTGTTTTGCATGTTTTCTGTTCTGTACATGTAGACTGAGCTGTGGTTTCCAACCTGCAAAGGGGCCTTCAGCGTTTCCAGCCTTCTGTCCTTTTACTGCTTCATTCCAGCTTGCCGTAATTAGCTATTTTGAACTCTGAATGCTAGATATTGGAGTAGATGTATCTATGAAGGCAACTGTAAATGAGACATACTGATAGAACCACAATATTTCTCTCGTTCTGTGACGACTACTTCTGTTGTTATGGAGTGGAATTTGAAGGCTGCATCGGATTGGGACTGGGATAACATAACTGGGTTTAGCTCCAAGACATGTGGCACTGAGAAACAAGTAAAGCACTTCTTAACCCATGATGATGCTGAAGAAGGACTTGGAGGAATCAATAGTGGATACATCTACTCACCTGGATGTGGTGGTGGTTTTTCAGGCTCTGATTCAGGACATGGCTCTTCATCTAAGAGCTCTGGGGAAGGACTTCCTGACTATATCAGTAAGAAACATTTGAGCATCGTGGGAAATGTTGAGAATGTTTCGACCATGGATGCTTCTGCCAGCTCTGGGGAACAAGTAATTGGTTTGAAGCTTGGTAAACGAACGTACTTTGAAGATGTATGCGCGCCTGGAAATGGCAAGTCATCATCTTCATCTGCTTCCGTGATTGCTAGCTCATCTGTTGCTGCTGGAAAGAGAACTAGGGCCCCGTGTCAGAGTTTACAATCACCATGCTGTCAAGTTGAAGGATGCAACCTTGACCTCAAGTCAGCTAAAGATTACCATCGGAGGCATAGAATATGCGAGAATCACTCAAAAAGTCCCAAGGTTATTGTTGCTGGCCTGGAACGCCGGTTTTGCCAGCAGTGCAGCAGGTAAGTTTTCGTTGTCCACCTTTCATTATCTAGCATAAACAATGTAGTTGCAGCAGCTACTTTGCTTTGGCACTTCTTAACTCCTGAATTTTCTGTTAGGGGTCATTGTTGATAGTATATGGCTGGTAGATTCATGCCTCAATTCCTTAGGTGATGATTTGTAATTACCGTAATGGGTGATTCGTTTGTTGTAGTAGACTATTTTCTGCAATTTCTATTTGGAGATTTGTAATTACCGCAAACTGTAAGAAGTTGAATTTCACAGATTCACTTCTGGCCAAAGGAAAATTCTAAATCTCACAAGTTGCTAGATTCTTTTGTCATGATTTGTAGGAAGATAAAAAGGATGGAGGACAACACAAACATAAATCCCTACTTAAAATTACACATACATGCAACATATCTTGAGATTGAAAATCAGCGGTGGTACCGCGAAACCAAACCAACACAACTTACTTTCTAATACAATCTAATATTTTGATCTCACTTATTCTCAGATCTCTTGGTTACTACCATCCAACAAATGAGAAATGTCACCTTCAAACAACCCCTTATCATCTCTTTATTTACTGTATGCTGATTTGAGACTCTTCCATTGTGAAACTGGTTCTAGGTTCCATGAGTTGTCAGAATTTGATGACAAGAAGCGAAGCTGTCGTAGACGTCTGTCCGATCACAATGCACGTCGTCGCAGGCCGCAGCCAGAGGCACTCCAATTCGGTTCAACTCTGTCTGCATCGATATATGGTGATCATTCTTTGGTTTTCTTCTAATCAAATTATGTTTATGATAAGTTGGCTGGAATTTCTGATTGCTGTCTATCTTTTCTATTGTCCTCATTGTGGATTTGTACAGATAATAGACGGCAGATGAACGTTATGTGGAATAGGGTTCCTTTACCAGCTAAAAGTTTCACCTGGCCAACCAGCTGTGGGCTTAAATTCACACAAGAAGGAGATCCTTTCCATAGATATGCGAAAACAGAAGGCATGAGTAGGCAGATGAGTGATTTGTCTAATGAATTGAATGACTCAACTTCTGCCTTGCCAATGATCTCAGACAAGTGTCTGTCTTTCAGGAGCAGTACACCTCAGATCTTTAATCAAGGTTCGTTTCCTATTCACCACCGGATTGTGCTACAGTTGAGACCCAATACGATCTCCTGTTTGATATTATGGGGTGTGTTTGAATGCTTTCAAAACCAGCCAAACTTGTAGTTCAATGATGGACTGCTTCCCCCTTACTCACAACAATGGATTGACGAAATCATACAGGTTTCGAGGGGTCTGCAGTAACTTGCAACCAAGAGATGAACCCTGAGTTAGGGGGTGCTCTCTCTCTTCTGTCAACCACTTCCTCCTGGGGTATGAATGAGCCTCCTGATTCAGCGCCGTTCGACCAGCTTATGCTCGTGAACGAAACAAGTGCGGGCCAGACGATGATGCACGCAGAACCGCAGAGCTGGTCGCTCTCATCATCAGAAAATGCGCCAATGGAGTCCCGGGTGAATTCGTTCGATTTACAAGACAATGAAAGCATCAGTTTCCAGCAGTTCCAGCCGTTCAAAACACCTTATCACTCCAACTGCTTCTACTCTGATCAGATGGACTAAGCTATTGGAAACTGATGCTTAGTATGCTGATCCATGCTATGAATTTGTTGATTCCGGTGCTGCGTTGTTAACTGGTTTTCTAAGCAAGCCAAAAACCAGTTGCCCTTCTCCCTATCCTCACTCGTAGTCAATTGTTAATTGCTGTTGAACTCAGATTTTACTTTCGTTGCAAACGTTTGGTTGAGCAGGCTTAGAATCCTCTGGTTTGACGTCAATTGTTTAGGTGAATGAATGTTGGGTTCACTTCTTGATCATGGGATGTGGGATGGTTAGTGTTCCTAGCAAGTTGCGACTTTATCCAATGTGGTTCCTGGATTTGGCGAAATGAATAAAATTTCAAAGACAATCAACGATGTTAATGACTTCTGTATCATTACTTTTTGTTTTTGTTTTTTGTTGTGGAAAAAGTGGGACACAAAAAGGGGTCACTGCTTGACACTTGTATTAAACGAGATTAGACCAAAGACATCCTGCTTCCCATTTCAGTGCCGTTGATTGACTTCATCGACTCTGCCCAAAAGGACACTCTTAAAAGATTCAATGGAATTTGCTTAGTTAGGCCACTTCCACATTGCTACTATCCATGGAGATTTTCAAAGTCACTGACCGTGATAGTGCTGGCTAATCTTCTCTGTATCGTTCTAATTTTATTGAATGTCCCCAAAGGAACGACGGTGACAGAGCTGGGCTAGCACAATTGACTGATTTTGGACTAAATTAGCACCCAAGTAGCTATAAAAAAAATTTCTCCATACATTATTATGCTGTGCCACAAACGGTCAATCTGCTTCACTATTATCTGCACATTTCTACATACTTTTTTGGTGGTGCGTGAAATGAATAGTGTACTAGTTAATAATATCTCAGATTATATAATGGATAGCTAGGTTGTTAACTTCAATTGTTTGTAATCTATATGTTTTTTGGAGATTAATGTGGTGTTGATTATTTATATTTCAGTTCTGAAGGATAAAAATTATATGTTCTTGTTGGTGAGAGAATACTCAAATATGATAAATACTTAGGGTAATGTCTATTTTTTATCCAAACCTTTTCATATTCTTTTATATTATTCAAACTTATCGAAATATTAAGAATTAGCCAAATGTTAACTTCCAATTAGCAATTTTGTTAGTAGTATTGAGTTGGTAACATGATACTGACTTGGAAAAGACACATTAAGGTCAACATTCCAAAATTTTAGTATTTTAACTAAGAAAAGAGTTATAAAATTATTAATTATAACTTAAAAATGGCTAATATTTTGATGCATTATGAAAGATTTGGCTAATTAATAGAATTTTAATAGGTTTGAATAATATAAAAAAAAACTGAAAAAGATTTGGATAAAAAATAGATATTATCCCGTACTAGTGTGCCCACCACGATCATGTTTCTTGGCACAACTTGTGCCAAAGAAAATTTATGTAACATTCACGCAAGGTATTCTGCTTTGTCATGTAAGATTATCAATTAGCCTTTGGTAATTACACCATTTTTCACAACGAGCTATGTGTAAACAATCATTCAAAATATAAGGAGTATTGTTATCTAGGGATACATATGAGAGGGAAATTGTTGATAGTTCCGACTATCAATTGAAATTTTTGTGTAAAATCTATTCAGTTTAAATGAAATTTTGAGCTATGTCGCTCCTTGTTAATATTTGATAGTGATACACCCTATCAAGAAATAAGTTAGAGGGTCATTTGGATAGAATCATTTCAGAAACGAGATAATTTGGTCAATTGTCTAATTTTGTAAAACGAATCATTTATAACGAATTAATTGGAATTACTTGTTTCCATCCCAGACAATTGAAATTTGTCTCAAAACGGATCATTTCAAATTCTCCGCGCCTAATTGATTCATCCAAATCTTTTACTAGCAAACAAGTCAATTTGGTTCAATTATCTCAAAAACAAGACAATTTAGTGATATCGATCTGTCATAATTCATCATTCACATGACCCACATTTTTTTATATTAATATTTCAGTGTGAAATGCTCCCCCATCACTCAAAATTTTCCACCCCAACAACCCACCGCCGGCACCTTCTATAAATACCTCCTTTTCCTTCGGCCGGCCACCACACTCCGACAATCTTATTATTATTCTGTCCACTATTAAACACCATGGCAAACCTCCAAGTAATCCTCGTTGCCACGTCAGCCATACTGCTGGCCGCCGCAGTCCTCCCGGCGGCCTCCGCCGATGTCACCGTGGCCGACATCGTCACGCCGGAATTCTTCAACGGCATAAAAAACCAAGCACCCAATAGCTGCGTCGGCAAAGGTTTCTACACGCTCGACGCCTTTCTCCGGGCCGTGCACTCGTACCCGAACTTCGGCAACCGGAGATCTCTCCCCGGTTCTAAGCGCGAGGTCGCCGCCTTCTTCGCCCACGTCACCCACGAAACCGGAAGTAATTAATTAAGCCGCCTTTTACGAACTTCTTCTTACTTTACCTTACTTCGATCACTCTCCTGCTAATTATTATGAGTTATAGTTAGGGATGACAAATTCGACCTGCTAGATTTTTTATTTGTTTTAGAGTAGGTAATATGGTTACTAAAATAGGGAGTGGCAGACTTAGGTACTCTGCTCAATCTGATTCTCACACTAACATGATTCATTCTAGATTCGTTTTGACTAAATTACTTGTATTTTGACTAAAATTACTTATGATTTTTCTTTTATTAATTACCTCATAGTTTTACTATAATAAAGTGGTAAATAGATAGAAACCTCAATTTTTCGAATAATTTAAAACTACATTTATTATAACGTTGTTTCTTATCTTTTAATGAAAAATTAATATTTCTAATATTTCCCTTTAAACTAAATAGTAAATACCCATATGGATCGATCAGTCCCGACTCGCGTTCCGTGATAGATTGCCCGGCCTTTCATGGGGCGGGTATGAATATCTATCTCCGACCTAGCTCATTGTCATTTCTAGCTAGTTATAGCAGTGCAATTTTTACATTATTTTTCCAGCCGTAGTCATTTTTTTTGTTTACAGTTGTACATATAGGAATACAACTCCGACCCATTAATCATAGTCGTATTCGTGCTTTTCGTAGTTGTGGGACTACAACTCATACGCGAACGCACATAGAATCGACACAGTATCATGTCCGATAACACGCATATCAAAATTTGTGTGTTCTTTTATGATGGCGAAATAGATTTACTTTTGTTTTTATGTGCTACTACGTAATGAATTCGAATTTGAGACCTACGGATTAAAAAAATCAGCGATAATACCACCAGACTAAGTCGTTGTTGGCTAATAAATAATCGTGTGGTTTTTGTTTTGGGCAGACATGTGCTACATTGAGGAAACCAACCGCGGGACCTACTGCGACCCGACCCAGTTCCCGTGCGCGCCGGGGAAGAGGTACTACGGCCGGGGCGCGCTCCAGCTCCGGTGGAACTACAACTACGCCAAGTCCGGCCGGGAGAGCAACTTCGACGGCGTGAACGACCCGGACGCCGTCGCCAGGGACCCGGTGCTGGCGTGGCGGTCGGCGCTGTGGTTCTGGGTGACGAACGTGGGCCCCGTCCTGCCGCAAGGGTTCGGCGCCACCATCCGGAAGATCAACGGCAAGGAGTGCGACGGCGGCAACTCGGCCGCCGTCAGGGAGAGGGTGGGGTACTACAACAACTACTGTCGGAAGTTTGGGATCCCGCTGCAGACCAATGCTGGTTGTTGATTGAAGTCTTTACGACGGCAGCGGCGGCGACGAGGAGTGATAATAAGGAAATAAAATAAATGTTGTACCTGCAAGCAAATGTTGTATTTAATTTGTTCGTAGGTAAAAAAAAAAAATGAGAGGAATTTATAATACCAAAATGGGATTAACTATTGTTATATGTTCTCATCAGTATTTAGATAATAAATAAACGGTGCGCGGTATTTTTATAGAGTTCTTGTATAGGAGCACGAATAGGTATACGGTCGGTAATAGTTGGAGCATTATATTCATATTGGTATTGCATTTTTAATTGCAAAATGACATAGCATATATATGTGTTTGCAATTGCAAAACTAATTGCATTGATGTGGATACCAATTGCATATTTGCAAGCTTGCAACAAATGCAATTCCATATGCAAGTCAAAAAAGCCTACAAAATGGGGATTTTATATTTTATATTATTTTCTTGTCTCTTTTACTTAATTTTCTATAATTTAAACATAATATTTAATTACATTTGCAATTGCAAGATAATTGCATTGATGTAGGTGAATGAAATGAATGTGATGTGAATTGCAAAAAATTTGAATAGACAATAAAAAACACAAATACAATTTCTTTTGCAATTGCATTGATGGAGATGCTCTTAGTAACTCACTCGGAGTAAGGATAGGGGCTCAAGATATGGGTTATGCACCCATCAATAACTAAATTCGGACCCTTTATTTAGAAAATCCAGATTTAAGGATGGAGAATTAAAGACAAATTTTTTTCCATAGCTTTCTTAATCGGCTCATATTTTCTTCGTTTTAACTCGGATTTTATTTTTTTTTTGCACAGATGGAATGAGTTCGTTGTGCTCTACAAAATGAAATCAATTTTCAATATTTTTAGAGAAACAAAAAATCTTGCCTCTCGGTACCAACTGCATACCATATGGTATCTTCTTCGTTTTTAATTCGTTTTTGAAAACGTTTGTACAGAAGGAACGAGTTCATCATGATCTATTGGATCTACAAATTTATGGGTGAACAAATTACAGGACCAAAAAATATCACACAATACCACCATGGTACGGGGTGGTATCTTGTGGTACACAATGTTAAAAGTCGTAAATGACAGTTAATATACTTCTATTATAATGTATTCAACCATCCAACAGTCTTGATTTGTTCATACCAGCATGGTACGCTTTTCAAACCATATGTATGCTCTTATTTCAATACCAGTCAATACCATATGGTATGGACTAGTGAAAAATGGCTCAATTTTTTTTGTTTGAAAAATATATCAAAGTGGATATCATTTTGAAGAGCACAATTAATCTGATCTAACTGTGTAAAAAAATTAAATTTCGACTTAAATCGAGTGAGAAATCGTCCGTCAAAGATTAAGGAGGGGAAAACTAAAGGCTTTCCAGGAGAGAGAGACGTTAATGTCATACTGATGTGGATGGGTTACTCATGATTACTCACCATAAGGTTACTGACCTGATCTGTTCCCCAAGATAGGATGCATAATCATTGGTTATGCACTCTAACCAAATCTGGACCATTCATTTAGAAAATTCAGATCTAAGGATGAAGAATTAAAGACTATTTTTATTTTTCCTAACTTTCTTAATCGGCTCATATCTTTTTCGTTTTAACTCGGATTTTAATTTTTTTGCA